CACGGTGTGCAGGAAGCAAGAGCATGGTGGCGCATGTCATGGCCTTCGCCGCCTGCCTGGAGCCCTACACCGCCTGCGGCCTGACACCGCCTGCTGAGCACGTGGAGCCCTCGACAGGCCCCCTCAGCAGGCCCTTCACTGGTTTTGCTGACTGGGGCGCTGCTGCTGCTGCTGCTACTGGGGACCATTAAGCCCTGACTGCCCCACCCCTCACCCGAGGGCCCACCTCCCCCAGGGGCCCTACACCAATTCTGGGCCACTTACTGCCAATACTGAATCCCCCTCACCGCCCCCAAGCTTCCCAGGGCCTGACCTTTACCCCGCGGTGCACACTGCTCCCACTCGACCACCTTGGGACTGGGCACCCTGGAGCTGAGGTGGTGGCTTCCTGAAGCTCCCCAGGTTCTCCCAGCTGCTCAGGACTCCCAGCCCCCCAACCTTGACTGCCAAGGAAGTTTTGTAGCACCATGGGGACCTGAGGACTCTGGCACATGGGGGGTTCAGGGGGGTGTCCTGGAGAGGGACAGCTTCCTGTCACCCTACAACCTGTCCTAATGGATACCTCCTGGCCCGTAGGCCGCTGTGGCCAGTACACCTGGTGCTTTTGGCATAAAGCCCTGGGCTTCATCATCTAGGGGCCCATGGTACCATTTCAGAGGAGATGGGGACACAGAGAAGAGAGGAGGCTTGTCCCCTGTCACTAGGCTACTGAGGTGGTCACCTCCCAATGCCCATCCAGGCTGAGAACTCCAAGGAACATCGCAGAAGCTGCTGGTGCAGCGGGCAGCCCCAGAGCAGCCCTTGCCCCCACCCTGAGGCCATGTGGGCACTAGACATATTTATAAACGGGATTCCCTGCATCCAGGGGCCTCTATTCTGGAAGGGACACATATAAAACTAAAATAAATTCTTTACAATGTAATGCCTGTTCTGATATGTTCTTGAAAGAAAAATCATTAGTATTTGGGGGTACAGAGTGTGTGAGTCAGAGGAGGGGAAGGTAACTCAGATGAGGTCAGGGAGCAGGAAGGAGCTCCCTGAGGAGCAGACAGGTGCCCAAGACTGGAGGCAAGAGGGCTTCCGCAATGCTAGCAAGGGCCCTGAGGCAGCAAGTGACTTGAGGCAAGAGCTGGGTCAAAGATGGGGGGAAATGAGGGATAGGGAGAAATGGGGAAAGAGCTTGAACTTCATCCAGAGTGTGGCTTTGAGCAGGGATATAACATGACTTTTTTTGAAAATATCAACCTGGGCATATGTGGGGAGGGACCAAGATGGTGGCATAGGTAAATATGGTACTTGCTTCTTCCCACAACCACATCAAAATACAACTAAGCCCTAGCCGGTTTGGCTCAGTGGATAGAGCATCAGCCTGCAGACCAAAGGGTTCCGGGTTCGATTCTGGTCAAGGGCACGTACCTCGGTTGCAGGCTCCTCTCCGGCCCGGGCTCATGCAGAAGGCAACCAATCGTGTTTCTCTCACATAGATATTTCTGCCTTTCCCTCTCTCTTTCGCTCTCTAAAAATCAATGGGAAAATATCCTCGGGTGAGGATTTAAAAACAAACAACTAAAGTAACAGAACAACCATCATTCAGAAGTGCCTGAAATCTGACTGAATAAAGTCATGCAACTAGGGAATTAAAGAAGAAAACATATTGAGACAGGAAGAAGGGGCAGAAGTGCAGAATGGGCTAGTCTGAGACCCTCATGTGGTGTTTTTTGTTTTTGTTTTGTTTTTTAATTCAGAGGGATATCTTGGCTATGGAGGCCTCCTATGAGGAGCATGGGGTCCCATCCCCATGGCAGACCCTTCAGCCCAGGCTTCCAGTACTGGAAAGAGAAGTCCCCATAACTTGGGGCTATAGAAACCAGCAGGGATTGTGGCTGAGTGACACAAAGGCTCTGGAGACCAGACAGTTTCTCTTAAAGGGCCAGCACACAGACTTACTCAGACTCAGTCCCTCTGAGCTCCGGCGCTGGCTGGGGCAGCAGCTTGAAAGGATCCAGCGACATACAGGGAGGAACTAAATTGTCTGGCTTCAGGGCAAGTTCTAGACCAGTGATGGCGAACCTTTTGAGCTCGGAGTGTCAGCATTTTGAAAAACCCTGACTTAACTCTGGTGCCGTGTCACATATAGAAAATTTTTGATATTTGCAACCATAGTAAAACAAAGATGTATATTTTTGATATTTATTTTATATATTTAAATGCCATTTAACAAAGAAAAATCAACCAAAAAAATGAGTTCACGTGTCACCTCTGACAAGCGTGTCATAGGTTCGCCATCACTGAACTAGGGGGCAGCTTTCTCCCAGACAAAAGTGCTCACAGAGGTCATTGTTCCTATGCTGAAACCTCTCCCTGACATAGAGCTGATTGGCAGGTGCCATATCTGAGCCTCCATCAACCTGGCTCACGCTTTGCCCTGCCTTGGTGATTCCCTGAGATTCCACCTTACACAATTTGCAGCACCACTCAAGCCACTTGCAGCAGCTTTTCCATATGAATTGCCTGTCCTGGCTCAGGCTTCGGACTTTCCTAAAATCTCTCAACAAGTAGCAGCTGGACTCAGCGAGTCCCATACCTCTTGATAAGTGGCCCAGGCCTGACATTAGCAGCAGCTTGTGTTGGATCACAGTTTGGCCTCTCCTGGGCACCTGGAGCCATCTGCAGATCACTCTGTTGCTTGTATGGGGCAGGGCACAGGCAGTGATTGACT